CGCATCTGAACTGACTTTGAGATTTATTAACTTTCTTATGTGCTTAAAGTTAACCTAGTTATCAAATGCCTTGCGGCCATACGTTAAAGAAGAAAGGTAATTGATTGGATCGAGATTGCCAACTGTTATCGAAATATGGAAGGGAAATAGCTAATATAGTTCCAACTAGTCCACATGAAACCCAAGATTTGTATGACAAAATTATATTTCAACCATTTTGTGAATATTGATTATCAGATTAATTTTTATTTATATAACCTTAAATATTACTTATAGAAGTTGTTTAATCTTGTTTTCGCAACTTGCTAATATTGGTAGGAAGACTTAGAAGAACCCACCTAGTCCAAAGTCCATTGTATGCATGATAATTTCCAAAGTCGGAACGTGGATGTGGTACAATACCAGACATTTCGCCGGCATCGTAGTCGGCATCGGCAGTGAGTCTTGCCATTCTTAGCACCATACTACGACGCGTAAGAGACAAATGAAGCCGATCCTTTGACCATTCTAGTGTGGTGTGTCCTTTTAATAGGCTTTCATGAGAACCCTTTACACTCCATGCTGGCGTTCTCACCCGTCTTCACCCTTGTGTTGGGAATGTTGATCAGAGTCTGCCATATTGTTACGCAGTCCTCCTTCCCTAAGTCTTATCACAGTCTCCCTCTTGCTATAGGTCTGGTTCAAATATTTCACTCGACCGCTGCCACCCCATCTGTGCTACTAGAGCCATTATCACCCATCCCTGCGTCTGGGTGACTAATTTGAGGCAAAAGCCTCTGCGTAATTCTCATGGTCAAGCCTTTGCTACATGGACCAGGTATGTGGTTAAGCAGACCTACTGTGAGCCAACTAGCTCTAGTCTCCGCCGCTCTATCCTGGTTCTATCCGTAATACCAAGTCCATAGCCTCCTATGCCATTGTCTCCTGTGTGCCAACCCACAAACTTTGTGGTACTGCTTGCTTTGATTAAGTTCAATGTTGAACCACAACCTTCGTGGGTTGGCACACAAGAGACTAGGGCAGTGGTTCCCAAAAATTTCCTAGTCGCGGCACCCTTTTTTAATTAAAATCTTTACGTGGCGCTTTCTTTCAATTAAAATTTTTACATGACTATTTTTAAGTAAGAGATAAAAATAAATAAAACTCGTCTATCCTCATTATTTTCTTACTTTATTAACATTTAATTAATATTTAATAATTAATGTGATATATGAGCCTGTAAATCACTGCACATTGTCTCAAATTGAAGCTTTTACAATATTTCGCGGCGCACAGTCTGGGAATCACTGAACTAGGGCATAGCAAGTCATAGACTTGGTATTAGGGATAGAAACAGGATAGACGCAGCGAAGGTTAGAGCAATTTGGCTGAGAGTAGGCCTGTTTTACCATAGACGTGGTCTATTTAGCAAAGTCTTAACCATGAGACTTACTCAGAGGCTTTAGCCTCGAATTAGTCACCCAGACGCAGTAGATGGGATCTAACACCTCGAGTAGCACAGAAGTTGTGGCAGAGGTCAAGTGAAATACTTGAACTATGGAGATAGAAGATAGATCCTACGGGGCAAGAGGGAGACTCTGATAAGACCTAGAGAAGGAGAACGACGTAACAATAGGGCAGACTATGATCGACATTCCCAACATAAAGGTAAAGGGGGATGAGAACGCCAGCATGGAGTGTGAAGGGTTCTCATGAAAGCCGCTCAAAAGGGCACACCACATTAGACTTAAATAAGAAAGGAAAAAATTGTGATAGTGAATGCGTGATACAATGATTTAGGACAGGTGAATAGCCCAGGGCAGAGAGATACCACAACTGTTTATCACACATTTAGTCAAAGGATCGGCTTCACTTGTCTCTTTGACGAGTTGTTGTATGGTGCTAAGAATGGCAAGACTCACTGACGATGTTGACTACGATGCCGGCGAAACATCTGCGAATATACCACGCCCACGGTCCGGCTTTAGAAATGATCATGCATGCAATGGACTCCGGACTAGGTGCATTACTTAAAGTCTTCCTACCAATATGCCCAAGTTGCAAAAACAAGGTCAAACAACTTCTATACAACAAAAGGAGACTTCGAACACACAAAAGGCCACACCATCTTCGTTTTCATATTTTAGTTCAAATATTACTATTTGACATTATTTTTTCTGATACATATGTAGATCTGCCTATATGTGCATATAGTTAAAAACAGATTTTGCATACTAGAAAGCTCAAATTACTAACAGAATGAACTTGTATTCATTAAAAAACTTGGAGGGAAATTTTCACTTGGAATATATACCAAATAATTCTTATTCACAAGAGCATTTAAAAGTATTTCTCGAAATATCAAGTGATATAATCTGTTAATATGTCAAAAGCTTTTTATCTTGTGGGGTTAACAAGGCAAAGCTGATTAATAGGACTAATATAAGGAATAAAAAGTTTCGAAAGGGTAGACAAACGTTTTTAAAATATGCCTAAATATGATTGAGTAACGAGAAGTAGAAACATTTGTCTCTTATTGCAAATATCCTGTAAGGTTAATTAGCATCGGCAATTGAAGGATTCAAGTTCTATCGTACAAGAGAAAGTTTAATTACCTGTGAAGCAATGATAGTTGAACCATGTCTATACACAGTGAATAAGATTATATAATAAGGATAATCAAATGCCCTTCTGACGCCTCATATACAACGATAGCTTATACTTGACTTCATATACTCAGCAAGAGCTCATAAAATATGAGTGCTCTTGAGCGTCGTCTCTCTCTTGACTGATGCATACTTACAGATTCATAGTAAATAACATGCGCTGCCAGCGTATTTTCACATATGAACAAATATCCATACATCCTATATAAATATATATATAATAAGAGAAAATACTAGAGCAAGGGCAGAGATTTCCCTTTTTATTCTAGCAAATTCTTAAGAAATTATGCTATGAGAGCTCAGAAGAGAAAGGAACGGCGAATTTCGGCCATATTTATAAGATAAATAAATTATGATATATATATATATATAAAGGTATAGTAACAATCCGTAGTGGGATTACCGATAAAGCAAAGTAGTATTTGATACGACAGTCGACTACATTACTTATTTTTTATTTACCAGTAGGTTTTGGAGACTAAAAGTGGACCTCACATATGAGAGTGAATACATTTCATATATAAACGAGCTACTGATAGTATCGAAAACCTACTTGTAGACGAAAAAATAATGTAATCGATTGCCATAGCAAATGCAATTTTGTTTCATCGACAATCCCATCACATTCGGCGGCATGGAAAACGGCTGGACATTCCTTGTAATTTGAATCTGCCCTGTGGCCAAAGAGCACTCGTGGTAGTGTGGCGTAGTGGTTAACATGTCTTTCATAAAAGCTGCACTATCACGGTTCGAATCCTGCTGGGGGCACTGATAAGATGAGGCGATGTCCACCCTGAATCAGAATACCCTTTAGGAAGCAAGGTTATGCGAAATTCAATGGAAATATAAGGCCCACTCATATCAAAGTGAGAAAATCTCATTACCAGTCCTTTACCACTTTAAATGAAATAGAATGAATACGTCTCATACATATGATCCACTAGTAGTCTTGAAAATCTACTTATTCGCTAGTCACGCTCCATATGGTTTAAAAATGCCAGATTTTTATCATTCAAACTTTATTTAAGAACACTTTGCTGTTACTAATACAATATATAAGATGAAGGATGAGATTACTTATATATATAAATATGTGTTTATACATAGATTGAGGACGATAGAGTAAATAAAATAGAAAAGTACTATAGCCTAGCATTCCTAGTATAGTAGCTTTAACTTTCCCTTTTTAAAATCATTTTCAAGCATTCATACTTAGTATATACTACGAATAAATAGGAGTAAATTATGTCATTTTAACATCGAAGAGTCCTCTGGTGCCTACGGCATCTACATAGCTAATTATATTTTTAAAAAGTGCATAGTTATTATTGTCGCCAAGCATGCATAAAGCGGTATAGGCTTCTCTATTATCTCGCTGGAGCTTGGGCTCTGCATATCCTTACAGGCAAATTAAGCATAACAAGATATAAAAGCAGATTTTTAAGTCCGAAGTGAAAGCATAAATAGAGCTCAAAAAGGTGAATATTAACTAGTAATGATGTAGAGGTAGACGAAATTTGTTTTGGTAGTTTGCCTAACTAAAATTCGTATGAAAGTAGGGTTTCGAGACTACCAGTAAATCAGTGTAATGAGATGTATTCACCCTATTTCGT